CCAAGTGATAAAATGACGATGTTTGACTTTCTTTAGGATTATGTTTTGAAATCAGACATGCTAAGTAGAGGTGGTCTTAAACCACGACATTCAGATTTTGCCTCAAGCCCCTTTCTCTTGGTAGTTGTGTATCCTAAAGATCACACGCATTTCTGAAGTTAAGTAAAGGGAACTTGGTGTTTATCAGAAGCTGCAAAATCGAAATTTTTAAGTGCAACATAGCCACACTGTTTATGTTACTCCCAATGACAATATCCAAACAGTTTAAAAATGAAAATCCAAGGTCTTCTTTCCAGCCAATTTATCAACCACTTCACATTCTACCATGCCTCACTGGCACAGCAGACTGCAGCTTAAATTTTAAGCCAACTCCCTCAGGGCACATTTTTTAAAGTTCTGAAAGATCTTTAAATAGCTCTTGGCCTAACTAGCAGTTTGGACAGTACAGCTTTGTTACAGATGCTGAGATCAGTACTGCAAGATGCTATCTGGATAGATCAAAACATATCTTGTCAGGAAAACACATCCGAATTTGATAATGCAGGTCTTCACTTCTACCCAGGAATAAGTGCCTGGAACTGGAAGACCCATATTAAGCCAGGCAGCAGCACTGAGTGAAACAACTGCCCTGCATTCTCTGCAAGTTAGATCTTGTCATCAGAGAGATAGTTTACTGCAGCATGCTTTACTGCATATCACATTAGCTTTACTTCCAAGTTTCTGACATGCTGCAATAGTGCCCATCCTGCCTAGCCAGAGTATGGCACTTCTGGAATAAGAAAATTTTCTTACTTCTTGTGCCTAGATATTAAATCAAATTGTCAGAGCATAGGGCTTACCAGTTACCTCATTAAGGCTTCAGTACAATTGCAGAGATGTACTGCTTCACTTCAATCATGCCGCAGTGCTCTGAAGCAGAAACTCAGTTCTTCTGGACAGGAAAGGCTCAAAAGAGAAATGAAAGGCAGGTAGGAGAAGGAGAATTAGAGGTTAAGATTAACTCACCGATGTGATAAACCTGTACAAAGGCTGTCGCCTCTCTGTGTATTTCACCGTGATGGGGCTCAAATCGTAACGAAACCAGATAGCTGGGATAATGCGGCCAGTGTGACTGTAGGCTACGTACTCCTGGAAAAGAAAGTGGGAGGAAAATGGCAGAAGTGAGCAGTCTTATTCCAAATACTGAGTGTCTGCAATAAAATGGCTTCTGTGGATCTGGCCCTTACTCCACTGTTTCGTACTAATGATCAGACTGAAAGAAACCATCAGTTAATTCCTCTGTGACTGCTCACTTCCCACCCTTATCAAACAGGGAAATAAGTTGCTTACTTTCACCTTCATTCAAAGTCACAGAAGTAAATAGAAGGGCTGTCACTGATCTCTCTAGCTTAGATCTGCTCTATTTAAATACAAGCAGTCTCTAAGCGGTTGCAGGTAAAGTTTTTGTGCTACCAGTCTGTAAATTGTGTACTGGGATATTCATCAAACAAACAGAATTTAGTTTGCAAGAATCTGAAAATTCCCCTTGACCGTACACTCAGAACAGCAAGCAGCAGCTCCTGCCTGGGAGACCCCCTTCACATTGGGACCAACCATAGGAATGCTTTGCTCATTCAGTATGAGTCACCTAGAGCCATGTTTAAACCATGTTTAAAAATCATGCTGAAAGCCAAAATGAAACTGTATACAGAAAAGTCATTGGCAAAGGTTCAAAAATATTCCAAGCTTGTTTGGGAGAGACACCTTCAGATTGCCAGTGACCATCTCCTTTAATGTGTTTCTTTAATAACAGGTACAATTCAATCAATTAGCCACAGGACAACACCCCAACAAGACATACCGCACAGGGCTAAGGTAGAACAGCCACAAACATCAACTTAGTGTCCAAAGCTACATCTTCCTGAGCTAACATTTTGCCTGTGCTCTTAGTGGAAATATATATCCACTTTCAAGGATCAGGACATTTATCTTGACAGACTGAAAACAAACAAACAAAACAAAAAAAAAGAGGAAAGAAAATCAGGCTGGGGACTCAGAAATCTAAGGAGAGCCATCAGCCCCAGCATGGCACACACCACCTCTTTACGGAGCTGCTCTTACCTTCTCTAGCCCTGACATGCCTTCCAACTCAGATGACCTCCTCTGTTTTAATTCTCTTTCACACAGAGGCAAGGACAACCTCAAATACTTCAGAAAGATGAAGAAAAGACAAGCAATAACACACCCACGAGCATGGTACGAAAAAGATAATTTTACTCTCTGCGAGCTCAGAGGGAGCTAGTGAAATAGCATCTATCTCCTTCATTAATCTCCTATAAACCCCAAATCTGCCTCCGTGTTTTTTTCAACGGATGACAAGAGAAGCAGAATGCGGTTGAAATCCCTACTCATAATCAGGGCATTTACTGCAGAAGCCTCGCAGACTGTCTTGGGACAGTGGCCATCTGGGGAAGTGAGGGAACAGAGGGTCCGGGAGGTAGAAGGGGAGAGGAGATAAGACTCTCCACACTTAGGACTCTCTTAATCTCTTCATACTCATCAATCTGTGCCAGACCCTTCCAATTCCTGTTTCCCACCGAACAGTATGGGAGTCAAGGACTAAAGCACCGATAAGAGAATTTTTATTTTTAATGAGAAGAAAACGCAGCACTGTTTCTCTGCACTTCAGTTTTTACAGAACTGACCTCATTTTTTCCCTTCCTCTCCCCTTTTCCCCACCAGTAATCCTGCCCTAATGAGTCAGTCTTGGCCGAACGCCCCAATTTGCAACCATGCTCACAGAAGTGTCAAAAGCTCCTGCTATTTTCCAAATTACTTTCAGAACTTGCGTCGCAAGAGTCTTATCAGAACAACAGTTGTGACGCTAAGCAGAACAACTACACTGTAATCTGAATAGAGGGAGACATCCAAATCACTGGGACGCACTGTACAAGCAAGCCCAGAAGTCAGTAGACAGGAACGTTAATCTGAGAACTAGTCCATGAGAGCGTGTGCTTGATTCTCAGTTACAGACTAGCAGTAATTAGATATTATAAACAGCATCTGGACTTCCACTTAGCACCTGACTGGCAAATCATTTTAAACTGAAAGAGGTTTTTTACCTTAAGAAGTAAATAGGGTCTTTTTTTTTTTTAAAAGTTCAATACATTGTATTGTTAAAATACAAATTATCTCCACATTTAATGTAAATTAATATAAATGTAAATTAATATAAGAATTATAAAGTTAAAATAACTATCATGATCCATAATAGTAAAGTAGGCACTGTGAAATAGTCAACCAGAACATATTTGCTGAAGGTTCAGTGGCTTAATATCCAAAATCAACATTTGTAAAAAGCTAAAAACTCTGCTAATTTATCTGTCTGAAACATCCATCACAGCCGGGGTCATTAATAGAACCGTGTGTAAGTGGTGTTTAGTATGTTCACCTGGACTGGAGTTTCCAACCAGATGCATCTCGACACAAATCACAAGAGCTTCTACAGCACGTAAAACCCTCCACCCAATTTACAGAAATCTAGGTCAGCTGAACTGGTGAGTGAGAAAGCATGGAGCACGAACACCTTTCTCTAAAAGAGAAACCGTACCACCACCTGCTCTGACAGGCCCTCACAGTCCCAACCCTGGTAAACGCCAGCACCAGGAGCAACAGGGAGAGTTTCAGTTCCTGCTTCTCCCAGCAGGGGCTACTGCTCACCTACAAACCAACGTTCATGGCTGCAGAGCAGAGCAGCAAGAGGGAGGAACGATGACTGAAGGTCCTCCATGCACCCACTGGGCTGCAATGAGGAGCTTCTCTGAGAACTACCCGCTTCTTTACCTTATTTGCTACGGTGTATTGGTATGAGTATCGCTGCTTGCCACTCATATCTTCATACACCGTTGGGACTATCTTCAATATGTAATCGTGAGATGCAAGAGCTGTGGTGAGGAAAGGAAAGGAAAGGTTAGCGTTCGGAGAAAGGAATCGCAGCCTACGCAACACTTCAAAGTAAACATGCAAAATCAACTGAAACAAGGCAGTCACAGAAAACGTATCTCCCTCCTCATCTCAGGTTGCGTGACAAAGTGACAATTTCACATCCTACATTTATGTCCTTTGTACAAAACCCTGTAAGGTAGTTGGATGACATCACAACCTGCCCCACCATTCTAAGCCTTCTGCACTATCACAACCCACGGAGATGAGTTTGGGTCACTTCGACCTTCCTACCTGCTTCCAGCCATAAATGATAAAACTTACCAGCAACACAAAAAGCTGCCCTGGTTAAAATCAAGAACTAGCTACAGCTAGAGCTGCAGCTCACTGGGCTGCTTTTGACAGAAGAGGCTGAGGCATCACAACCTGTGTAGTCCCGTTTCTTATGCACTCATCTTTCTTCCTTCTCCCACAACTGCTTAACTTTTTTTTTTTATTTTTTTCCCTAATTTAAATGGCTTGTGCCATTTTTTTGTGTCTGCTGAAACAGTTCTAAAACAGAATTCTAAACAATTTCTTCGCAGGATCCTGTAACACGATGACATTTGGCTCCTGGAGAAAAAAGAAACCCCACAGTTGTCTAGCTTCAGGAACAGCCATAGAAATTTTGTTCCAAGACGTGGACAAGACTGATATCCTGCAGGATCCTGAACACTTGAAGGAGAAAAACTACGCTGAACTGTAGCATGCACTGGGAATTTCTTTTTGTGTTGCTGGTCATAAAGAAGGGCAATGAAAATGTCTACTCTTCCAGCCACAACACAGAACTTAAGGTAAGAGCTAACTTGCCACACAAGAAGAAAAAAACAGTTCTGGAGGTGGTGACATCAGCAACGGGAAGCTATAGGAATAGGATATGGATAAAAAACTCAGTAGTTCCAAGTCAGTCATAACAGCGCTGGAAACAATGTCCAGGCTGCAGAAGGGCTGTAAAGGACTTTTTGGGCTAAGCCTTCTCTGTGGCACTGGAGACAATGGAAATGTCAGTCAGCAATGTCTGGATCATTTTGGCTAAAGAGGCAAATTAAAGACTTGTGGATACATCAGTGTTGCATGAACAGCCCTGCTTTCCCTCCTGCAGAGAGTGGCTTAGCACTGTAATAAACAAGAATACATACGATTTGAGCTGAGTTTGTCTGCTCCCTCCAGGGCATTGAACGCTCCATGAACGTTATGGACCTGGAAAGCAAAAAGGCATATGAAGAAACTATGCTCTGACTTGGTACTCTTGATCTTTGCTTCCCTATCCTATCTTGTAACAAGGAGATCAGCCTGATTCAACCTTTCCAAAAACAAAGCCTCAACCCAGTAAAAGATGACTTCAAATATCTTTCAGTGACCATCACCGCAGAGGTTGGTTCCAAGTAAAAAAGGTGATTTCACAACATCCTACAAGATGAAACTCCAAAACCACTCCAAAGCTAAAGGAATTACAGTTGGAAGAGGCCAGTTAGGAAATAACTCACAATGAAATTTCACAAGAGCTCTGCAGAGTTAACTGTGAAATTCACTTCTCAGGCTGTAAGGAAAATAAATGGGAGTCATATTCAGGTTAAAACTCAAGAGGTCTGTAAAGTTAGGTCATGCCAAAGCATTTGGGCTTGTACAACCTTAACTCGTTAGCCCAGCTTTCACACCATGCACACTATGCCCTTGGAGATGGGAAGGACACATGCCAACACTGCCACCCATTCAGCTTTTCCTGCAGCTGGTCCCAGGCATGCAAGTATCTGTTTGCCCAGAATAACAGGATTTCCATCCCATGCCTTCCACATACTATGATCTGGAGTCTGATGTTCACTAACAGAATGGCCAGTCTGTGAACTCTCTAGACAGGGAAACCCCCACAGCAACACCTCTAGATCAGAGGTTGCATCATTCATATAATGTACAGTAGACTATACAGAAAGGACAAATAACTCCATAACCTTGGAATTCCTGACCTTAAGCCAGACAACAGGGAAGAATAGTTTGGAAGAAGTATTTGGTCATGGTGTGACAGAGTTTCACGTCAGTAACAGAGCAATGCAATCTCCTTCCAGACCCTCTCAACAACTGACAGCATGTCGATGGATGTGTCTCATCCTAATGGCTGTTTCCCTACTCTGAATGCTACAGAGTAGATGATGGTTTGGAGGAAGCAACAACTGGATCTGTTTCTCTCCTGAGAAAGGAAATTCTAAAGAGACAAAATCATCAGCAAGTTCAACTAGCTGATGCTGGTAACAAGCACAGAGCAAAAGCAACAGCTGAACCTTCTACAGTGCCTTTCCAACTGCTGGCATCTCAAACATTTTACACAACAGCAACCACTTCCGAACTACACATGCAGACTGTACACATTCTTTACTCATTGTAAAAAGCCCATGAAGAAAGAGAAGCCCCTGGACTGGGCTACAGTACTATGTTCCATTCTTGATAGAGCTGAGAAGTCTCTTATAGCACATCTGGGCCAGAGACTTTAAGGTCCGCTTCAGACACCAGCAGAAAATACTGAGCCGTGGCTCAGCAGAGAACGGTATCTACACTGTGAGGTACCTCTATATTTGGACTTAGGTTCTCGTCCTTAGCTCCCCAGCATCCCCACTGTTTACATGTGAAAGTTGTCTGCTCTGCATCTCTCTACACAGCGAGTTTGCAAAGCTGCGGGTTAAAGGGCTTCCACACAGACAAAGCCACCAGACATCTCCGTAACCGCCTGTTACTGTGCGGCCAGGTCCTTTGGTGCATCTGCCCCTCTTGTCTCTGCAACATGGACAGCAAGTGTAACTCCCAGTCGGGTGTTTTACCGTGATCTTCCTCCTGGAATGTTCTGCACTCCCATTACAGTATTTGCTGTCCATAGACTGCTAATTAATCTCTGCACTACAAAGTGCACAGGTGTGTTCCTTGGGGGAACATGCTTGTTTGTACCTTGTGAAGTACCTGGAGGGACTTCAACAAGCAGTCAGCTTTTGGCCACAGTAACAAAATTGCTTTGCAACAGAGAACTTAAGCAAGCCTGTTCAGCCAGATGTTCTCAGGACTTTGCTACACTACAGAGGCCAAAGGTAGTGCTGGCTGTAGTGGCACAGTCAGTGGTTTAACAGTGCAACACTTTATTCTCCTGGAACATGGACCTCAAAGAGATGCTTGCCAGGGCCTTGAACACCCTAGGCTTTAACCTCTACAAATACAAGAAAAGACACATAAATGGACATAGAACTCAGGCAAAGTCCCACAGCAGGCTAAAATAACTTCCAACCTTGCAACTATCAAGGGAAGACAAAACCTCTCACAAAGGCTAAAACCAAGATTATTCAACACCATCATCTAGCACTCAAGAGAATTCTGTGATTAAAAATGTATCATCTCCTACTTCCCCAATCTCTTTCTTTACTAGGTTACCTGATGGGCAAGAACCTCATTGGTTTGAATTTTGGTCTCATCTACATGAGGGAAAATTCTACAAAAAGTCTGCCACTACTGTGCATGAACTACCGCTGAAGAACCAAAGCCCATTCAATGTCAGACAAGATTCAAATCTCTATTTCAAACAGACTGTTTTTTCTGGAGAACACATCACGTACCTTAGTGGGTATTCTGGCTGAGCTGGTAACAACCTACAAAGAATTAACTCTCAGCACATGACACAAGCGAACAAGAATCTGCTCACCCCCTTTAAGACATGAGCATGTATTACATCAAAGCAGGTGGAGACAACCTAAAATATTCAAAGGTGTATCTAAATTTAAAATCTCCATACTCACTGGCTCTCTACGTTGCTTGCTGAGTCTTGGTAGCACCTGTTTAGTGAACATATCCTTCTTTAATTTGTGCTGTTGAACTCATGTTTGCCTACAGAATCAGCAGCACCTACATGCTCCACTCTGTGTATGGAGATGATGAGTAGTTGTTCTCAGCTTTGAAAATACTAATCAGAACTTGTCCAAATCAGGAGCCAACTACAAGTTTGCTAGACAGGTTTCTCACCACCAGAACTGAAGACACTCGTTCCTTTGCCCCCAACTGTCCAGGCTTCTCAGCTCATTCATGCTGATTCGCACTCTGGCTCCATTACTCAAAGACTCCATGATAAAACAATGGGAACGCTACCTTAGAGCACTGATTTCCCACGCAAACTGCAGAACTCCCTATTAGCACTTACCTAATATTTTTCATAATCTCAGTGTGCTTTACAGACGTTAAGCCAAGCTTATTTATATGCTAATATTTCAGCGTTCCCACACAAGATATTTCCTAAAAGAAGCCGGGAGCAGAGTCAGAAGACTACAAAGCAACGCTTAGACTTGTTAGCATGAAAAAGGGTTTTGGAAGTGGGTGTACAAGAAGCAGACTAATGAGACGTCTGTGCTGAGGGAAGAAGATTACAGAGAGAATATGGGTAAGCAATGTTTAGGGTGAGTCGCAAACTGGGTGTGCACATATATAACTCCCACCTATGATGCCTCCTTGGAAGTAGGCTAGAGAAGTGCTGTCATCTGTCCTTATTGAGAAATCAGAAATTATTACATAACTTGCAACACCTGGTGGAACTCTATCCACAGGGCAAGTGCACACGCTCAGCTTCTTCCCAGCGGGGCACTGGCAGTTCGAAGTCCAACCCGTGTTTCACAGAACAAATTTGACTAATAGGTGTCTGCTATACAAGCACAGTCAAGTGAATTAAAAACTTGACTGGTGCCATGGTAAAGACAGTAGCGAGCACTCATCTTCTCTTAGTGTACTCCCTGCTCCTCTGCAAAGGCAGTCAGGAGTTGTTTGCTATATTAATACTGAAAACAGTACTGCATAAGGTTCTGCAAAACCATGAATCCTCATTTCTACTCCCCGCAGCAAGGTAGCCACATAGTTTTCCAAAAGCACTTTCAGTTTCAGAAGAAAACAGCAAAGTACTGTATGACTGAACACGGCTTCTTCCTGAAGTGGTGGCAGGTAAAGTTTGCAAACTTCTCTGGACTCTGCACATGGCATGAACGCAAGGGGTGAATCCTCACTTCTACTCCCCGCAGCAAGATAGCCACATAGTTTTCCAAAACCACTTTCAGTTTCAGATGAAAACAGCGAAGTACTGTATGACTGAACACGGCTTCTTCCTGAAGTGGTGGCAGGTAAACAGTTTGCAAACTTCTCTGGACTGAGTGCACATGGCATGAACACAAGGGATGGGCTTGGTTACCCAGGCAGTCCCTTCTTATGTCCTCCCCACACTGTAAATGATCTTACTGTAAAACCAAAGTGTCTAGAGCTAAAGTCACTCTCATTGCATTCATTCCCCTAGAGTCAGGGAATTTTCAGGGAAGAGAACTCACCTGTAACTTGTCCCCAAATGAAAGCTTGTGGATGACGTGAGTCATGTCAGGATTCTGAGGCTGCGCAGTGGCACTGTGCGTTGACACGTGAAAGTTACCAGGGACCTAAAATTAGTCAAGACAAGGAAGACAGGATTTCACATTTTATCCCTCAAGGCATGGCTAGGCTCTGTGATATGAAGCAGCAATGCCTTGATCCAGCCTGGCAGGCTGTGTCTACTTTGGAGCGGACCAACTCTGGCACATCACGGAAAAGCTCTGAAATACCTTCCTGCACTGGACCAACACCACCATACTGCACATGGAGCAGAGATCCCTTACATCCCGCAGCCCAAGAGTCTGGCGCCCTCACATTGTAGCTGCTGCTGACTAAGAGGCGATGACTGGATCACTCATAACCTTAGGGATTCCTAACACTTAAGGCTACGCCTTTCATCCCCATTAAAATAAGATTTGTGTCTCTGACAGGCAACCAACAGTTGCTTAACATTTTACTCCCACAGCTCGCATTTGTAAATGGGCCCACTGCTGCAGAACAACCCAGGAAAGCTGTGGATATATCCTCATTGTAGTGCTGGTCGTGAATCACCTTACTTTTGAGAAGATTGTGTGCAAGAATGAGTTTTTAATAAAAATATGAAAACCCCACCCAACACTATGGGGCTTCCTACACGAACTAAGCTAGATCTTCAGCTTCCAGCCCTGGCAACAGCACTTCCAAGTACAGGATATTCTGTTTTAAATGGAGGGAAGTACAAAGTTCTGAAAAATACAGATTTCATGTAAGGACTCAGTTCCAAGACAAGAAACGAGCACTGGTGTCATTCTGATGGGATCACTCCAGCATGCACAGACTTTCAGGTCACTAGCCCTACTCTGTGAAGCCTTTTAACAGACTGAGCTCAATCACTGTTATGGAAGGTGCAAGAATTCTTTCCTAGCGAGAAAAGGTTGGGAAATTAGCAGTCTTGATTTGCAAACCCTTTGGCAACCCTAAAGAGCAATCTGACACGGCCTGAGACAAGAGTGGGAGGATGGTTATACAACTGGTGCCCATTGTGCTCTCTGCAGACACCTCACCAGCAAGGCCACGGGAGGCCACATGCCAGTTCCATGTGCTTTCAGGAAAGCTAATTTAAATGACTTGAGGAACAGCAGTGCACTCCTGGGAACAGCTTCAGGTGTGGACACAAGCTGTGTCATACATAAGCTCAGTAAACAGGGTGGCAGACTGCAGTAAGAAGCACACGCAGTCATCTGTTAGCTTGTCCTCCTCCTTCAAGTTTGAGAATAACACTCAAGTGCAACCCTTGGTCAAGTTTCAAAGCCTAATCACCTCCCACTCCAGATACCAGGTCATACAGAACCCTGTACAATTTCTGCCAAGGGACTGAAGATTTCCAGCTCATACACGAGATGTTCAGATTTTCAGAGCCAGAAGTCAGGTCCCCTACCCCTGACAGAAGTCCCAACCACTACATGAGACAAGGCAGTTAGTGGCCTTTCACAGACTGAGCAGTGAAGGGAACTCCTCACTACCACATACCACAACCCCCGTTTGAGCTGCTTTGGTGAGCAGAACACACCACATCTAGCAGACAAAACTTCAAGTATTTCAGCTCTGTGCTTTGGGAATTAACAGAACAAGAACAAACTTTCAAGAAGCTCTTTCCCAGTTCTGTGGACTACTGGTTGCGTGTAATCTTGGTGGCTTAGAGGCAAGGAAAGAAACGTCCTCTTTTAAGTCCCTAATCCTTTCCATGTCACAGAATCAGTAAGAGGTTCTGTCTGTTATTTTTAGATGCGATTTAACATGACCTGGGAGGAAAAGAAGGAAGTAGGATTTTGTAGCCTGTGGTACATGAAGAGGCGTGAATAAAGGGTGTGCCCTTCTTAGGACATCAGTGGGCCCCACCACTGCCTCTCCCACCCCAGCTAGTCATCTCCAGCATTACATAGCAAGATTATTCAATTCTAAACACACCCAATCCCAGAGAGGAGCCTCCTCCAGGCCTGGATTTTCATTCTTTGAGACAGAAGCAGAGCATCCTGACAAAGCATGCACAGAGGTCTCGTGTATGTATTCCAAACATCTCAGCACGGAGCTGCTCCTGTTACGCTGGCACCCTCTAGTAGGGAACATTCCTGTCATTCTGCGGCTCTCAGAACAAAAGAGGACTTGGATACAGATGTTGCCAGAGACCTCTCACAGTGAGTCACATTTTGGAGGTGCAAAAGTCGTGAGGAATAAACACAGGAGCCATTCGGCTTTTGTAGGGAGTTCATACATGCCCTGAAGATTAGGCTGCTGTACTGAAAGAGGCAGCGCTGGCCGCCACACAGAGCTGCTCTGCTGTTAAGCAATGCTATCTCCATTACCTGTTTTGGAGAATGAAGACAAAGCCTGATCTAACACACCCTCTGTGTGTCTAACTACGCAGCTGCCTCTGCCCACACTGTTCTGCAGCACCAAGAGACTTAACCTTACCACTGATTAGGGACACGAACGTATACTTTACAGGAGAAACACTGGCACATAGGTTTTCATGAGCATTTTACAAATGGATCTTGCTAGCATTTCCCCAGACAGCACACATTCACCCACTGCCACTCCTACTCACCTTGTTGATGCTGAAATGGCCCTCAAACCTGCACCCATCCCCATTACTGAGAGGTATCTTCATTGAGTTGTCAATATGACCCACTTCGTGCCTTCCCATTTCATCTTGGATGTCTAGTCCAACTACTGCATGGGTGGGAGGGGAGAAGACAAAAATCAAACCAAAAGAAATAACAGAAGGTTGCAAAAGAAAAGCATGCACTGCTTTTACTGGGAAAAAAATGCATCTATTTTTTCCTGACATTTGACTAAACTGTGCTAGTAACACATTTGTCAAATATTGTTATACCTGCTCTTCAGAAAGAGCTTTGTAACCAAACTTTTCAGACTGCCTATGTGACACAAACACACCCCCCATACCCTGCCAGCTGACTGCAATCTCAATTACACAAACAAAAAAATTCAGGCCAACAAGGCAGGTGATATAAGAAAAGCCAACAACTAGCTGGTGCATTCAGAGTTACAAATGAAACTTGGGAGGTTTCTTGCTCCTAGAGACAAAAAGGTTGCTATGAAAAAAGAAAATGAGATTTAGAAAGAAGCCAGTGAGGCAGGTCAGCCCCTAAGACGGGCTGTAGACCATGCACAGGGTCCAAGAAAACAGGTGTCCTGGCCTGGAACAGAAAGTGATGAGGTACTGGCAAAGGCTGCAGCTACTTGAACTCCATCTACCCTGTTACAGAAGGGCCATTACCCGTTTGGGCCCATTTCAAGTATTATTTAAACTGCAAAGAAAAAACAGCAAGTGAAAAGGGGCACTCACATTCACAATGAAGGTTTGGCAAACTGATGTTCAGATTGACTTCTATTTTACCTCCGCTGTCTTTGTCTGGGTCATCCACGTAGAGCTCATTAACTCTGGAAGAGAGAAAAAACCAGTGGGTTCACACATATAGCTACTTTCCACAGGAAAAAACCCTACAACCTGCATGGGAAGGGGGCAAAAGGAGACTTTGAATTAAAAATAAAAAAAGACCATGGAGGTATCACTGATGTCCCAAAAAGGAGACTTTTGACTGTGTGACAGATGCAACAAGACAGAGCAGAAAGAGCCCTCCATAACTACATGGGGGAAATCACAATTTAATTTTACTTCTTGCTTGGTAAGTGTAGGAGGCTTTAAACAAGACCCTTGCACCAGCAGAAAACAAAACTCCTGCTCTGATTTATGCTTCCTGCCCCCTTCCCTAACCTGAGTTTCCAGAGGCGATACAAGACACGAACCTAACGTTGAAGAGGTGGCAGGCCAGTGTGCTAGCCCTCCACACACCTAGGCTGCTACTCCTTTGAGGAAAGAGGGACACATGTGCTTTTTGATTTGTTTCAAAAATAGTTCTGGAGAAAGGCTGCTCACAACTATCCCACAGGAAAGCTTATTTGAGAATCCAGCGTGGCATACTTCTATCTCCCTAGTATCTCGTTTCAATCTATGAATGGTAAGCAAAAGCAACAACTAAAATTGAGGAGAAGAGGATTTGAGCCAGGAACAGATGGGAGGAAACATCCTGGGCAGCAGGATGTAACACACTATGCAACAGTCTCCCAAAGACTAATGTTGTTTCATAGCACCCACAGTGCTGGCACGTGTTTCACAAAGACAAAATACAGATATAGAGTAAAAGGAATAAAGAGCGTAAATATTTATTGTTGGCACATAGGATCCATCTGACACATAAAATATAAACCAATAAAACCCCACTGCAAGCACAGCTGAATGAGCTGAATGCTCCTAGAGATTCCACTCCAGGGAAATCCAGCCCACTGAACTGAAAAGACGGCACGATCACCTTGCAACTCCTTCTCCCCCCGAGTCCAACACTGTTCAGCCTCATCAAATAAGATTTGACAATTTATCTTCCAGCTGGACAGATTATAAAGCTATGGGAACTTATGTTCAAGCTACATAAACTCCCTTCCCCAGTAAGTGCTCTGATTAGTTTCACTGAATGCTCAAAGCGCGTGAAACCCTTTGACAAGCCCTTGCCGAGGCGTCTATGCTAACAGACAAACCAGACCAAGGGAAGCTGCAAGACAGATCCAAAGTGATTTTGCTCTGGTGATACATCTCTGGACCATAATGAACTGTTTGCCCTGTGGATTGAGAAGAAACAAGCCTTCACACCGAGAAACACACAGCTGCCAATTTTTTTGGAGGTAATTACTCACAGGTCAGTGGGGTTTGCAGACACTCGTTTAAAACCAGCACAGCATTTGTCTTCGGCTTCGCAGCCCTACCTTTCTCTGTTTTTAATTGGCTTGACAAGTTGCTTGCAATCGTTACTCAACGTATTTTTCAAGTGATTAATAAAAATGACACAGAGGGAGGGGAAAGATTGCTCATCAGTGACCTAGTTAGAAGCTTCTTGGCTGAGCCCTCTCCTCCCGAGCGGAATGCATTAAATCTTCTACGTGTTTATTACTGGCAGATTGGGTAGCGATCGGGATTAAGTCATATGTCCAAATATGGATGCGAGGAGCAGCTCCAGCCAGGACAGGCGTTAATCCCCCAAAGCAATGCACCTCTCTGCGCATCCCGAGTCCTCCCCTCAAGATCCCAGTTGCCAGCCAACCTGTTTCATAACCGCACCTGGCTTCTTCCCAGCTCCCTGCCGTCTGAGATGCGGGCCATGCCCAGCCGGTGCCACGGGCAACTAGATGTTACTAGCAAAAAGGAGCACTGGCATGCGGGCTGGCGGAGAAGCGCACCAGGTTCAGCTGCGCAGCTGAACATCCCAGCTCTTCAGAGGAAAGCTCTAGGAAGGTCAATATTTGTGTTTACTGATTTCCAGTTCTGAACCTGTCAGGAAAACACGGGTTGGGTGTGGTCTGTAAGCAAAGGCACACAAGCCTTTCAGTGAGAAGTGGTTGCTGGTAGAAGTCAAAGGATAAACTGTGCACAGGGAGCCTACGGAAGCTCTTACATAGGAAGAGAAGCAGTGAGGTCACTCAGCTGAGACTGGATCACTGAGGCAAAGAGAAGTAGGCCAGTTTGTCCACGTCACACAGCCCATTAGTCGCAGATAAAGGAAACTGGTTTCCTGTCCTGTTCCCCGGTCACTGGACCAACGGTTCCCAACCTGTCCCTTGGGCAATGCTCACAGCCACTTCCTCCTCCTCCTCTTTACCTAGTAGCCCCCTGCCCCTCTCCTAGTCATGATCCCAATTTCATAACCCTATCTATCACTCCTCAAACATCTGACAGCTCGTGACAGTCTGTCTGTCCTTCCTTCCCCTCCCTTGGACCTGTGGTGCCACCTTTCATGGAGTACCCTGCCTGCTACTCCAGCCGCTGCCTTCTCCTGACAGCATCAGCTCTTGCAGAGGGCTCAAGCTAAAAACACAACAAGGTTTCTTAACAGGGGCTCCAAAGTGCACCCTCTGTGCTGACCTACTCTGCTACTGAGGTTCCCTCTCACTATGGGGACCCAAGGGCACAATGACAACACACCACAAAGAACTGGTATGCTTGTCAGCGTGAAGGCTGGGGCAAACCTCAAGAAGAAACAAGATCATTTTCAACAAACTGGAAATTTAACTCCCAAATTACATTCTGGAAACCTCAGAGGCAAAGCAAACTTCCAGGGTCAAGGCTACCCCTTCCAGGATCCCTCTGTGAACCACCACCAGCTAAGTCTGGATGGAGCTGGCAGAGAACTGGCGCTCACGCCTCCCCTGCTATCCCTCCTCCCAGGGCCAAGAAGCCAAACTGCATACAGTCTTCCTATTATTTTATTAGACAATCCTGGGATGTTGGGAAAAGCTCTATTTACCACCTCTAGCAACTCCCCCTGAAGGGATAACGTCTCCAGTAGAAGAAAAAGAGTTGGCTCTAATTTATAGCTGTTCCTCCTGGAACATAAAGTGTCCCAGGAGTAACAGTGCTTAACACTGGGCCTGGGACAAGGGAAATAAAACCTGAGGTCGGGCTGTTTAGACAGGCAGCACATAGGGTTGAATTGTGACTTCAAAGATGGCACCTACCTCCTCCTCAGACCTTAAGTATGTAGGAGTTGGCAGCTTACTAGTTGCTGTTATGGCCCATTTGAATAAAAGTGGCACAATAAAGCAGAGGTGAGGTGCAGAGCTATGAAAGTACAGTGAGGACAACAGGACACGAGAGGTGGACCTCTCCTCTGGCGCGGCCTCCCACTACTGCTTCAAGGAAAGGGAGGAAAGTTTCTCCACACAGCAGGAGCTGTGATCCACACAGAAAGAATCTGCCTCACTTCTAGAACGAGCCACTTCGAAATACTTCACATTCCTGAGTGGTGTTGCTCGGCCTCCCAGTTGCTTTTCCCGGTTGCTTACAAACTTGCAGCATTACACAGAAAAAGTTGGAGGGACTCTCTGGCTACAAGAGCAGATCATGCAAATGGCACGCGAGGGAGAACAAAGGGCGAAACAGGAGCAAGGGGGCTCAGCATTTCTTTTAAGATTTTATCCAAAGAAAGCCAGATCCATTCCCCACGCTTCAGGACTCAGAATTATGACACACCAGCTTTGTTTCTCCAGAAACAAAACTCTCCTGGTAAGAACTTCCACCCAGCAGGCCTGGCCACTAACATTAGATGCTCCCGCACTTCAACAGAGGCCCTTTGAATACAAGAGGATACACACTGCATGGACCTTTCAGAGCTTCACACACTGCCTGGGTGCCCTCTAAACACATCTTCCTTGTCCTCTGTCCTCCTTGTCCTAGTCTCTGCTTCAAGTTTTAGCCTTTTTCTTCCCCCTCCCTCTTTCACAGCAAACAACCAGGCACCCTCCTCCTAAGTCAGCAGCCTTACACAAAATACAACCACTTACTCCAGCAAGCTGCATTTTACCTTGCCCTCCAACTCCTAGGATGTACTCCCTGGTCTCTAGGACCTTAAAGCCTAAGAGGGAAAACAGTTATTCTTTCTTGAGGGAGCCCAAAGCTTCTCAAAAGACTTTCTCAGGTGATCTTTCTTGGCTCTGCTTGCCATTTCAGTTTTAATTAGGCATCTTCCAGAAACACGATCATCCGAAGCTCGGATTCCTGCACTACTGTCTCTTCGGTTGTGCCAGACCAGAGAAGACCCAACACTGGACAAACAATCCATCTTCTTCTCGATTTGTGCAAAGAAACAACAAGCAGGTTAGCAAATTCTCTACTATGTAATAAATTGTGCACGTCTATTGCTCTGCCATTCGTAATCTTCCTTCTGTGCCCTGAATCTCAATCAGTTCTTCATTGAGAAGGTCTTTGTCCCAGATTAGGTCTTGGCTCAGCAGTGAAGCACAGAAAACACACTGTCCTACAAAGGAAGGAATTACAGTTCTCCAGAAGGCAGGAAGAAGGAGAAGGGTTGGAAAGACGTCAATGTAGATTTGAGTCAGAAATTGCAAGTGACATCATGACATGACCTTCCGCTTCCTGCTAACCCACACATGTACATTAGGACAAACGGCACAACAACGCTTCACAAATATATAACACCTTTTATTAGGTAATCTCCAAGTTACTACGCAAACGTTAATTAAGCTTCTTAGCACCCCTGAGAGGTAGGCAGCTAAGTATTACATCCTTCTACAGAAAAGTGTCTGTCTCAAGGTCAGTCCTTGGCAAGAGCAGGATTACGACTCCCATTCCCCTCTGACTACCAGGCTGCATTCCCTGTGCTGGTCTAGTTTGCTCCAGCATTTCATGTGCCTCAACTGGATGAGCTGGTGGAGTCGGAGTTGCATCTCCAGCTTCGTATCAGAACATACGAATTGTGGCACTGTGCTCCTGCTGCAGATGGCCTACGCTTCCAGGTTACGGTTTCCAGCAGAAGGAACTCTTGCTGCACCAGGATCACACTGTGCTGCTGCCAGTAGGTGCAGCTTGAGCCTGC